TTAAAAAAAAATTAGTATACACATATATAATAAAAAAAATATTAAGCAAATACGTACATTTTTGCTATATGCTGTTGTTATTAAGGAATCATGCACTACTAGTGCTTATTGATTTATTTAGTATTTATTATATAACCATGATAATTTAGGAAACTATACCTAGATTTAATCGTTTTGCAGTTTCTAACCAAGTTTTTTTCCTCCTAGTAGTATATGTATTTTTTATGTTAAGTTATTAAAGTCGTACGGCACATAATATAATTGTTCAGAAGAATCATAAAACGCGCGCATCTACGTTTAAATGCCATCTGTCTCTGATGAGGGATGCCTATATAATGTCAACACTGTCTGTTGCCCACGTGTCACAATAATTTAAGTACACGTGGAGCGCATGCATGTGTGATGTTACTGCTTACTAGCGCAATGTGAAATTTTGATGAATAACTTGAACAAAAATTCAGCCCCCCCCCAAAAAAAAAAACAAGTAAATATAGAGATGGATTCCATTATAATTAGATTCTTGGACCTTCAAAAGTTGGACAGTTAATTGCTTTATTTTAAAATTTCTCTTTTTTGTGTTTATTAAAAAATGTATTTTAAAAAAATCATAGCATTTATAAGAGTGAATATGAAATTCGAAAAAATTTAAAAATAATTTGATAGGTAAAACAAATTTTTTTTATTCCTGTAAAAGACTTAAAAGTGTATTGTTTTAAGAATTAAATAGAGAATATTGGACTGGCTTTAATTTGGTTCAAGAATTATATATAACCAAAGCAAGTATAAAACATATGATGAAAAGACAAATTAAACTTTGAATTTATATCAGTATAGTGTAAACATATAAGTCTGGAAAGAAATTATAAAAAATAAGAATAAATTATCAAGTTGTGAATGAAGATAAGAATGTTAGAGATAAGCATGACCCATGATAATAACATGAATCCAGCCATATCGAGTTATTTCTTATCAAGTTGCCCAGAAGTTTCCACCGGCCATAATATATATCTAAACATACATCAAAATAATAATAAAAATTATGAATTGTTTTGTTAATTGCGTCTCTATCCTTTCAGAAATTATGAATAATTTGGTGTTTAATAATTAATCCTCTTTCATACATGCAGTAATATATGCATATATTTTTGTGACAAATTTAATATTCGATATATCAATTAATTCAAATTTCAGTATCATCATCAGTTTTAGACTCGCACTTTCCAGTATTGCTTTTGGATTCATAATATTCAAACATAAAACCACCAATGGATCTTCCCTCTATTTTCAGTCATAAGACAATTTTTTGGAAGGGGGTGATTTCCTATTTATAGAATATAATTTACAAAAATTGTGAGATTAATTAATAAATTTTTTAAAATGGCCCTGGTTAATGGTAAAAAAAAAAGGCCTGCGTTGGAAAATGATGAACATTAATTAATAATGGAATTTGAAAGAATAATTCTTTTCAAACAGAAATTAGTTAACCTAAAATTACGTTATTGTTATGTGTAGGCTATGTAATTTTACCTAATGAAAAGAAGCCCATGGAGAATCGAATACCTGATTGGGAGAGTTATTTGGCATTCTATGATTGGGTCAAATTCTCAAAATTAACTCAATAACACTGAACATTACTTATTAAAAAAATCAGTTGCAAGAAATTGTACAACATAAAATATAAGATATAAGATACTTTTAGGTAACTCATGCCACACAAATTGTTTATATTCTTTGATATCCCACAAATATTGTATTCTTTCCGACTGTAATTGATGACCTTATCAACACCGAATTCTAATCATTAATTATTAAGGGTATCATAGCTCAAACAATAGTAAATACTTACGTAGTCTGAAAATGACTCATATCATGACCTAATTTTAATTACAATAATATTTTATTTCAAATTTTTAATTTCAGACCTAATTATTAGAAACAATTAATTTTTTAAAATTAGTTAATAATAAAAATTTATTTATATTTGAAAATGAAAGGGATATCATGCTTATATTGTTTGTTAAAATAAATGCAAGGCTAAATGAGTAAGTTGGTTCATAAATTATATAACGTTAAGAGTGTTCATGATTTTAAATTCATTTTTTATATAATATTTTCTTTCAACTTTTAAAAGGGATCAGGTACAAGTTAGCTCTTATCATTAAAAAAATTAATTTTAAATATTAATTTATTAACAAAATGGATAGGGATGTCAAAATTAAAAAAAAATCAATAAAACATTCTCGAACTTTTTCTGTAATTTTTTATCTTTATTTATAATTTTTAAATTATTATTTATAATTTTTTATTTTTATGTAATTTAAAGATTATTTTTTGATCAATTAATAAACCGATTAATTTTTATTAATAATATTTTAATTATATCATTTTTAAAAATTAAAAATAAATATTATATTAAAAATAAGTTCAAGTCTCAAAATATTTTTATATTTATAATCTACGAATGAATTTATTCTTTTACTCCCGAAATTGTGGTGCGTACGCTGAATTGGGAATTCTTGCGGCCCTACAATTGAATTACACGGGACATGGACTTGACATTTGATGCAATACTTTATGTATGAAACTCTCAAAAATAAAAAGTGAAGTTTATCAAAAAGCAATCTGGTCGGCCATTTACGGGATTAAGATGCATTAACTAAGGTCATCTTGTCTTGCATTGCATGTCTCCCATAGTACCATTGAACCTTCTGAAGTTACGTTCATGTTTTTTTTTTTTTTTTTTTTCCTTCGGCCAAAAGTTACGTTCATGTTTCGTTCAACGTTACTGTCACTTGTTGATTAAATTTTGTTATCCCCGCAAGAAAATTATGGAAATTTTTAATTACCCTTTTTAAATTATTGATCGCTTGATTCATTTTTAATTTTAAAAACCTTAGAATTGCAAATCATCATCAATTAAATCTTTAAAAGTCGTTAATGTATAATCTCCAATATTCCCTAAAGATAAGCAGAGTAGCGAGAAAGGAGAGGGGTATTTTCTATACTTAGAAAAGAAAATAAGTTCAATATATGTGGACCCAATTCTATTTATAACAAATTATACAGATAGTACTGCTCAAAACTGAATGGGCATTTAATTTAATTGATCCAGGAGATCGAATTATTTTAGTTTAGAACCTCAAGTTCGAGTCAAATTAATTTCCCATGATGATCGAGCGATAAAATAAAAGTTATATAGCACTACTCACGTGTTATGAATGAGACTTATTTTGAATTCCCCCTAAATACACAGAACACCCCCGTAAAAATATTTACATGTATTAATTTTCACAGTACGAATATTGAATTGTGTTATTGCCAATTTGATCAATTTTTGTTGAAAAATTTCATGTTTTGAATATTACTTTATTTATCCGAGCGATTGAGGGATGAGGCAATTGAAATTTACATTTTCAAGTATGGGAAATTAATTAGGGAGTTGGATAAAAAAGTTATTTGAAATTTTTAACAATTATGATAAAAATTTATGAATATTATTCAGACATTATTATTTTTTATATAATTTATCGATTCCAGACAATTTTCATCCAAACATGATCCCGCAGCCAAGATACTTAGAAAACAGCTTGTGCATTGTAGAACTATTCAGAAGTTTTAAATAAACACATAATATTAAAAGAACTCAATCCTTTGTATTTTAAAAAATACATTCTAATTAATAATAATTTAACAGTAACGAAAAAAAGTGTATTTTGCATATTATATTAATTTTTAAAAAGATTTTTAAGGAATGTGTGAAATTTTTAGTTTGAATTGATTGATGAAAGTAAAAATTTATAAAAAAAATTAAAATTTTTTCTGATAAGCAAAGAGAGAGGAAAAAATATATGACAAAAAATTTATTCTAAATTTTTTTCTAATAAAGAAGATGATGTTTTTTTTTCACCAATATTATAATGAGATTTCACCATGTCAAAGAAACAAGAGGAAAAAAAATATAAAAGTATGTTTATAGTAAAGGATTATATTATACTCCTATTACTGTGATTAATAACTTATCAAAACTCCACCCAATAAGAATAAAAATAGTCAATCCAATATTATCTCATTTATATTTATTATAATCTCTATCAAAAACTGCTTTACTCATTATTACAGGCTTCTTTTATATAGTTTCATTATAATTATTATTTATCTTTTCTTATTCCTTTGTAATATTACCATTATCCAAATTAATTTAAATTTTTACTATCATTATTATTAATTATAGGTATATTAAAAATATTTTTGATATATTTATTTTACGTAATTATATATTACAAAACTTAAATTGGATACCACATAATGAAATGATTAACTTTGTGGAAGTTGAAACCAGCATATGATGTTAATTTTTTTGCACAATTTTACCATGGCCATGCATTAAAAAAGAAAAAAAAAAAACAAGCATAAACTTGATGTCATATGTGTGTGTATTGATTGAATTAACTCAATACTACTCAATCTGGAGATTTTCCCTCTCAAGTCAGTTGTTGGTTACAGTGTCATTCACTGTTCATGGCAAAATCTGGATTTGGCGGACCAAATATAGATTAGGACTGAGGTTGTTATCCATTAAGCAACTAGTTAAGGAATTAATTTTTAATAGGTCTAAAACATTTTTTTCATGTTTTCTTTAAACCCACAGTTTTAAACTTTGTGCCTTTCATGATCAGAGAAACTGGAAGTTTTTGTCACTGTAACATGATGCCTTGGAAAAGTAAAGTAGTAGCTATGTGATTTCAAACGGTGGGTGGTTTATCAGCCAACAAGATTGAACTCTCACAAGTTTATATATATTTTTATAAACACTAGTTGGCTCCAAGCAACCGTATATTTCTGGACTAAAATAGAGATTAAGCAACTTAATTTAATTAATGAGAAGGACGATGTAAACACTCAAGGAATAATAATTCTAGAAGAATCCTTTCTCGCGGCTATTACTTCCAGAAAATGACATCATTCTGAACTCTCTCTCTCTCTCTCTCTCTTTGTGATTTGAGATTTTCATTTTTAAAAGAGGAAAAAAAGGTCATAAGTTTGGTTTTTGGTGGATAATTGGTCTCACTTGAGGCGTTCTTGAACAGTTCCTTGAAAATTCGTAAATTTAGTGTCATCACAGCAAAAGATTGCAGACACCGATTTTGCCGGCAGAATTTCAGACAATGTATTCTCTTCTCTTTCTCGTGGCCATGCGTAAATTTTCATTCACTTCTCCATAGGACGCAAACCCTGCCACCAACAACACACCAAAGCTCTGATTTCGCTCCCTCTGTCTCACTTTCTCTCTCTCTCTCTATGCATCACACGCAAAATATTCTTCAAGTGTTGAGATTTTTATTCCGGGTTTTATCATCTCATTGTTTGTGACTTTTCGTGTTTGTTACCCTCTAGTCGCCATAGATGGGTTGTTTTGTTTGTTCAACCGTATATGAGACTGCTCTTATAAGATAGCCGTTTTCATTTTTTTTTTTTCTGTTACTTTTCATTAAAATTAAAATACCGTCCCTGATATTTCGTCTGTATCTTCCCGGGAGGTGCGTTTTCAATTTTATTAGTCCTTCATCGTTGAATGCCTTTTATATTTTAGTCCGTGTAAAAGTGGGTTCCTTGAATTTGTTCAAATCCCCATCATGGATCTGGGAAGCTGCTTCCTGGAGGAGAAAATAATACTACAATTATTATAATAAAGAAATAGTGAATCATCCTGAAGTTGTCCTATATTAATTCATTATATATATATATATATATATATATCAGTGTTTTTCCTCTGTAGTCTTCAATTCAATTGAGGAGGGTCTTTCTTCTGCAATTGGGGGCTCTGTTTTAAATTTCAGTGACAATGCTCCTTCTAGATTTCTAAAAGCGCATGCTATGGATCTGGAAGCTGGAATTCCTAAGAATCATGTTGCTAAGGTGAGTTGGGCATATCTATAAATCTGAGAAGTTTGCGCGTTTGTTGCTTCTGGGTTATCTGTTTTTAATCAGAATGTTGGGTTTATCTTTGTCGTAGAAAGAATCGTGGAAGACGGTTCTGACTTTGGCATACCAGAGCCTCGGAGTTGTGTATGGAGATTTAAGCACTTCACCGTTGTACGTGTATAGGAGCACATTTGCTGAAGATATTGAGCACACAGAAAGCAACGAAGAGATTTACGGCGTCTTGTCTCTGGTTTTCTGGACTCTCACGTTGGTCCCTCTGATCAAATACGTGTTCGTCGTTCTCAAAGCTGATGATAATGGCGAAGGGGGTACATTTGCTCTGTACTCCTTGCTGTGTCGGCACGCTCGAGTCAACTCAATGCCCAATTGCCAGGTGGCGGACGAGGAACTCTCGGAATATAAGAAGGATAGTTTTTGTATGGCCCCAGAGAGAAGCTTTGCCTCGAGATTGAAGGCCACGCTGGAGAAGCGCAAAGTTTTGCAGAGGATTTTGCTTGTTCTGGCTTTGATCGGAACTTGCATGGTGATTGGTGATGGCGTCCTCACTCCTGCTCTTTCTGGTGACTTTGATTAACTTATTTTTGGTTAAATTAGTTTGACTTAGGAATTCCTATATCCTTCAGTCACTGAGTTTGTTTAATAATTGCTTGCAGTTTTCTCTGCGGTTTCGGGCCTTGAGCTTTCTATGTCAAAGGAACATCACAGATGTATGTTCATCAAAACTTTCTCTTTGCTTAATTTTCTTGACTTGCTTTGAAGTAAGAACTCCTGCCAAGGTTTCTTCACTTTTCCTACTTTGCAATCGGTGCTATTAAACAAGCTATTATATCTTGAATCCTTTCTTGTGTACGCCCACATTTGCCCAGCTTGCTGGTGTTCCTTTTTACTAAAGTTCATGAGATCTGTGATGAATACACTGAAGATACTGCTGGTGTAAGCTCTTGAATCAAATTATTGCATTTACTTGTGTAATATTGGAAGTTATAAACCAGATAGACAAACATATTTGAAAGCCTCTGCCATCAATATCAATATGGCAACTGATGTAGTTTAATTGATGTTGCTAGAAACTTCATGAGAGTCTCTGGTAATTTTATTGGTGTTGGTGGAGACTAAACTAATGTCATTCTCCATAGGTCATGCCAGATAACATTAGCAGCTGATTGTACCATTTTCATGGAATTTTGGCCAGTTTATATCTCCAATCTTCTTTTTTGTTGTTCTTCTTAGGTGGTTTTTAAAAGTATTAAAGGTTCACTGGTTTAATAGTTTCTTTAAGAAAAAGGAAAAGAATTTTGAAGTCGGTTCACTGATATTTACCATTGATTTATGACCCATAATCTTGTGCACATTCATGATTTATCTGCCTTTTGAGATTTGGTACCTCAATCCCACTCTTTTATTTTTGTCTGAGACAAGATATAAGAGCCTCTGTTATATTACTTACCCTTGAAGGTTGATACTTGCCAGATGTAGAAGTCCCAGCTGCATGCTTCATACTGGCAGTCTTGTTTGCCCTCCAACATTTTGGCACGCACAGGGTTGGCTTCTTGTTTGCTCCTATAGTAATCACATGGCTTTTCTGCATCAGCGCCATCGGCATATATAATATATTTTACTGGAATCCTCACGTGTATAAAGCCCTGTCTCCTTATTACGTTTTCCAGTTTTTAAGGAAAACACAAACAGGAGGTTGGATGTCTCTTGGTGGAATTTTGTTGTGCATAACAGGTTCGTTTGTTTGCTTCATGTATCAACCTTGTTTTTTTCTTGCCAACATTATTCACATGGTCCTCTAATGTAGTTCCTCAATTTTACAGGATCAGAAGCCATGTTTGCTGATCTGGGGCACTTTTCACAATTATCAATCAAGGTATTCCACTTTATTCTGGGTTTTCATTTGATAAAAGATTAAGTGGATCAGCCTTCTGCTAGATTTTTTTTTTTTTTTTGTGAATAAATTAGTACATAATGCATCATTTAGAATTCCTTTGGTGAAGGTTGATACTTGTATACAGCAATTGAGCTTTGTATTCCTTTCATGAGCCCTGTCTTGTGCATAATGTTCTTAAAACTCTCAAAACTATCATGAACCTTAGGAAGTAAATATCTATTTGCTTTTACAATAATGGGCATCGATTTTTGGTAAATTTACTATTTGTATGAATAAATCTTCCTAAGTTAAAAACAAGGTCTGCTAGTTCGGTAAAATTTCGCCAGCGTACTCCACAGTCCATATTTTGTCTGAAGATCTGTTAATATAGGAAGGTGAAATGTAGTGAAGTTGATGGCATGGTGGAAAGAAGAGAATGACCAATTAGGTATATTCCTGACAAATGTAATTTTTATTTATAAATCTGTATTTTTATTGACTGGAGTTGGAAGTGAATGTGGTACTTGTCTTCTTTGTATTCATGGTTTCATTGTAATCTTTCTTATTATTTAGGTGAGAATTGTGGTTTCTAAATGTTATTGACTAGGCATTCATTGCATCTAGATGAATATCCGGTAACAAAGGTAATATCATAAATATCAAAGTTGTAAGTAAAAGTAGCATTTCAGTTTCTTTTAATCAAAGAGCTAAAGGGAGTACTTATCCAATCTAATGAATGTTTCAATTTCTGCAGATTGCTTTCACAGCTGTGGTTTATCCATCTTTAATTCTGGCATACATGGGCCAGGCTGCTTATCTATCCAGACACCATGATGTTGTGCACGATTATCACTTCACATTTTATGTATCTGTACCAGGTAGGTAACCTAACTTGTTCTTTGTGAGAAAAAGGTTTAATGAACATGATGAACAAGTTCTCAGCTGATCAATAATCTATACCCATGCCTTCCCAGAGACATTAAGATGGCCCGTTCTGGTGATAGCCATACTTGCGGCAGTTGTTGGAAGCCAAGCCATCATCACCGGAACTTTCTCAATCATCAAGCAGTGTTCTGCATTGAGTTGCTTCCCAAGGGTCAAAGTTATACACACATCATCAAAAATTCACGGCCAAATATATATCCCTGAGATCAACTGGCTGTTGATGTTCTTGTGCTTGGCTGTCACAATTTGTTTTAGAGACACAAAGCGCTTAGGCAATGCATCAGGTATCCCAATGATTGAGAAGTTCCCATGCATTATATTATATACCTGCAATGTAATAACTAGCCTACAATACATGCAATTATTTGTTCAGCGAAGAATCTGACAAAATGTCCCTATGCACAACAGGTTTGGCGGTTATTACAGTGATGCTGGTCACAACATGTCTGATGTCTCTAGTGATCGTACTATGCTGGCACCGAAGTGTTTTTCTTGCGGTTGGTTTTGTTTTCATCTTTGGGACAGTTGAGGCTCTCTTCTTCTCGGCTTCACTCGTCAAGTTTCTGGAAGGAGCATGGGTGCCAATTGCTTTGGCATTTGTATTCCTCTCTGTCATGTATACATGGCACTATGGCACCCTCAAAAAGTATGAATTTGATGTTCAAAACAAGGTCTCTATCAACTGGTTACTCAGCCTTGGTCCCAGCATAGGTATTGTTCGAGTCCGCGGGATCGGCCTTTTCCACACAGAGCTAGTGTCTGGAATCCCTGCGATCTTCTCCCACTTTGTCACCAACCTTCCAGCATTCCACCAGGTTGTGGTCTTCCTCTGCATCAAACACGTCCCAGTTCCACATGTTAGACCTGAAGAACGATTCCTAGTGGGTCGAATAGGCCCAGCAGGCTTCAGACTTTACCGGTGCATAGTGCGATACGGATACCGTGATGTCCACAAGGATGACATTGAGTTTGAGAAGGATCTTGTCTTCAGCATAGAAGAGATGATACGAACCAGCACAGAAGGATCAAATGCTGCAAATGAAGAGGCTGAAAAGGGTGACAAATTGACAGTTATTGGAACATGTCCTTCTTCCAACCCCATTTTGATTAGTGAAGAAGATACATTGGACAATAACAGCAGTGATAATAGTAGTTTGGAGTCAGCTGGAACATTGACAGAACTCAAGGAGATAAAGTCAGCGACAGTGATCCAACAGAAGAAACGGGTGAGGTTTGTTGTACCGAAGAGTCCAAAGATCGATAAGGAAGAATTGGACGAACTAAGGGAAGCAAGGGAATCTGGGGTAGCCTACATTATCGGGCACTCTTATATGAGAGCAAAACCAGGGTCCAGTTTGATGAAGAAGTTGGTGATTAATTTTGGGTATGAATTCTTGAGGAGGAATAGCAGATCACCCCCCTTCGTAGATAGTGTACCTCATGCATCATCTTTGGAAGTAGGGATGATGTACCAAGTTTAATTTTTTTTTTTCCTTTTTTGGTTTACCCAAATTACAGTGTATCATGTAAATCTGGTATGTTCAGAGTCCTGAGCCATCACCTTCATGTAGTGATGAACGAAAATAGTGTACAAATTTTGGTCTTTTTTGTTTGACAGGCTTTGATTGTCTTCCCTCCTTTGTCTTCCTGTTTCAGATAGGAATTCCAGTTTCATGCACTTATTGGTGATTTCTAGGTCAAAAATCTAATTTAGTTAGCCTTTCTAGTTTGAAAGCAATCAAATGGCAATTCATGTACCTTTTGTCCCATCTTCGACAAGAATTAATGTCAAATTTAACTGGCCGTTGACGTAGATCGATGTGAACTCAACCATGTTAGGTTATGTAACAAATCTTGAACGAATGATTTGACAGATATTCGCCCAAAAGAATGATATGACAGAGGGATTATGTTGAACCTTTGCAAATACCATGAATTTAATATCCCCCCCCCCCACCCTTCTCCCTCTCCCTCTCTCTCTCGCGACAAAATGTTGCCTCCTTTAAACATAGGACTTAAATTAGAACTTACAAAATTAACTGCATCAAAAATACAATAAATTTAAGCTAATCTTGTATTGGGAGAACGGTAGCCTACTTGAGCGGCAAATATTGGTCAGTGAGTATTTAAGTAGAAATTTAATGTGACGGCCATGAGCTAATGCGATCATAAAACTAAGCAATTAGTCTTAAACATAATAAACAAAGTAAACTTAATGTTCAACTATGTTGAAATTGCGGTAGAGGACAAGGTAACATCGTACTGATAATGGAAAAATTATATTACTGGGCCTAAAATATTTGTGCTCTGAAACCCAAATAATTTTTCTTTTTTGTTATTTAAGGTATTCCATAGTTGATAGTAATGATGCTAATCTTTTAAGAAATTTAAGAGTCATTTAAAAGATTGTCCTCTCAAAAAATGTTTTTCTATATAATCCTCCAATAATCAAACTTTAAAATAATTAGAGTGGAGAATAAGGGTCGGGTTTTAAAATCTTATTTAAATAAGGGTTCAAATTTAAAAATGAGAGACTTTTAGGGTAATTAGGCTTCTGGGTCAGGCCCTAATGGGCCTTGAAAAAGGACTCAGGCCCGAGTGGCCTTGCAAGTCCTGTTCTATTTTTTTTTCTCTTCTACCTTAGAACACACTATTTGATAAATAGGAAAAAAATCCTAAGTGTTCGATCATTTCAAATTCTCTAGCTCTCTTCATCTTTTAACCCAACCTCACCCTCTTCTTTCTTAAAGTTGTTTCGCCTCTCTGCTCGCCTCCTGACTCTCTCTGTCTCTCAACTTGCCTCTCCTTCTCATCTCTTGATTCGGCATCTGTTCCTGAGCATTCTATTTCTTTGGTTTTTTAACTGTCTTACTCTCAAGTGATTTCTCTTCAAGTATAGACCTTTTTTTAGGTCATGGATGTCTGAAATTTTAATTTGATGCTTGCTTCTAAGATTTTAATTTGATTTGAAAATTCTAATCCCTCATCATATTATATGAGGATTATATTGATATGCCTCAAATATTTTATTTCTGAAACTTTGTTGTGAATTTTAATGGCATTAACTAACATGTATTTAGACTTTTAAATCTTTTATATATTTTTTAGATAATGTGAGGCCTTGATTTAATTCTTATTAAATTTTAGAGTTAAATTATAATGTTAAATATTATGATATTGAATTAAGTTATTTTCTAAAAAAATAACATTAAATTTTAAATTTATTTTTTATTTTTTATTTTTAAACAAGGCTTCTAACCTTGGCTCTAAGCCTTTTCAATAAGAGTTAGGTCTCAAATTTTGGTGAAATTTTAAAAAATGAGCTTCAAAGTTAAGGCACTTAAGGGCAAGTTCATAAGAATTGGATCCTAAAAGGCCGAGCTTGCTTATTTTTTTATATCTAAAAATAATACTCAAGGGTTTCAAACTATTACTATTTATACCGCACAGCCCAAATAAATTTGTGTACGTTCAATGGGTCTTATAAAGCCGATTTAAAAATTACTAGCTCTTAAATATTTATGTCACGTATAGAGAGGCATAATATAACCGTTAGATGATCAATTCCATTAAGCATCAAGCTCTCTTTTGTTACCTTCTAGCATTTAGTTCATACTTGCATAGCCCTACAACCTAATTAATTATCTTACTTCAAGGAAAAGGAATCAGAAGGTTTAGCCCATTTATCCAATTTCAAGAAATTAGCTGGATTTTTTGTGAGAAAGCTATACTTTTGCTCTTCTGTCTCTCTCTCTCTCTCTATATGGATTTCTAATGAATCAGATTTAAATATTATTATATAGATATCTAAAAACATTTTTTTAAAAAATATTCACAAAAAACTAAAATCCAAAATGTTATACTTAAACGGCCATAAGATCAATGCATGCAAGTAAACTTCTGCAATATTATGGCAAGTATAATTTCAACCCCATCCCCAAAAATAAACAGTACATATGACGAAAGAGGCAAGATACATATGTTCATTTTTCAAGAACAACCTCTTAATTTGTTTGGCTTATAAATAATTTGTTGCCGATGAAATCAGTTGTTTTTTTTAAAAACAACATTTAAGGTGACAATTAATTGAAAAAGCATGAATTAAGGCGTGGAAAATGTGGAAATGTTAGGTATGGGTGTATTAAATTAGTCCAAAGATGCGTGAAGTGATTAATTGTGTGACTAGCTTTTCAAAAAAGTACCTGGGGATCCAACGTGTGATGTGGATCAATGAATATGATATACAGGTAATTCACCAACAAAAAAAAACAAGAAGAAAAAGAATGATATACAGGTGAAAAAAAAAACAATGAATATGACATATAATAAACTTTTCATTTGGAAAAAGCAAACACGCGTGCTCCAAAAGCACTTGAAGCATCAAATCAACATTCCTTCTTTTTCCCATTATAGAATAAAAAAATTGACTCATAAATCATGTGTGAACTGAATCTTAATTTTCTTTATTAAAATTCTTTACTGATGAAAATATTTTTCTTGTTGTAATCCCATTTTAAAAAAACATAATATTATTTATTTATTTAAAAATGTAATGAATATTAAATATATTTTTATATAATAAGACAACCAATTTTTGCTCCCCTTATACTTAATCAGTAAATTCGTTTTTTGAGAGAAAAAAATAAAATAATTTTAAAAATAAAAGAACCTGGATATGTGTGTGTGAGATCTTTAACTGTATTTTACATTTTATTACGTGCTTCTGTATCATGCATTCATGATGCCGCTGGATATTCTTTCTTTTCAAATTTTCTGCAAAAAAGGAAAGAAAAAGAAAAAGAAAAAGGTGATATGGGAATAAAATGGAAGGTAGTGAAAGCAATGTAGCTCGAACGAGAAAAGCTATTGGTGAAGACAAAAGGCAACTTGGTATTCTTTTAAATAATAAAAATAAAAATCAACAGCTAGGAATGACGTGTGTGTGTGTGTGAGTATAAGATTTGTTGTTTCGTCTATCTTATCCCTCTTTTCTTTTATATCTCTCCATCATGTAAAAAAAAAAAATCTTCTTGTTTTGTGAAGATGTTAGAATTTCTTCCACGGCAGAAAAAAAAAATATTCCCATTTAATATACACATACATTGCTCCGGATCAAGCTTCCTACATTCGATCATTTAGTGGTAAACGTTTTTGATTAGCAATGTTTGTATTTGGTAATCTTACCTCAAAGTTCATTTGCTAGCTCCTGCCACTCTGTCTGATCCTTAACTGGATTGGAACATTTGCATGAAAAAAGTTAGATCTCCTTATTCTGTGTGAATATCAAGTTGGAATTTTTTGTGATCCTCGGTGGATGGTCGGATTCAATAGCAGACAAAGCATCCAGCGGCTTATTCCACCTTTTTCGTCTTCAGTATGAGACTTATGGTGGATTCAAATCTTTCAATCGGGAAGTAGTAGTTCACAATATTCAACAGCTCTTTACCTCATTTTCTTTGGTAGATAATCCGATTGGTCCAGGATGCCTTCTTTTTTTTTTTTTTTGTCTTTACTTATCTCTCGTTATGTAATATTTTGCTTGTACATGCCTTTGTATTGTTAATATATATCGTCTTTCTTTTTTAAAAAAAAAAAAGTACGCATGCATACATGAGAGATGAGACACACATTGACACACATGATATTAGAAAATAATATTATAATAATACTCTTCCACGCATCGAGTCGCGGGTGCAAAGGCGCTGGGAAGAAAGTGACTGGGCCTAGTTGGCCCAATGAATCCGGTCTGACCCACCCCATCCGATACGGGTTGGTACAAAATCGAATTAAGGATATGAAGAGAATTTTTTATTATTGACACATTTTTTTTAATTTTATAGCTTTAGATTGGTTTTAACTCAATCAAGCATCAAATCATCCATCTAGTTAAGAAAAAACACGAATTATGAAAAGTAATTTATGCCATAGTTGATAAGCAGAAAAGTATTTTTTAAAAAGGAAATGTCAAGAGATATAATTATTTTTTCCCATTATATTTCACATTTATTTGGAAAACATTTTTTTCATATTGACTAATTTTAACATCATAATTTGTTTGGGGTGAAGACTATAACCTTTGACCATGTCTTCAGAGAATCAAATAGTCATGAAGATTAGTTAAGTCACCAAAACTCTATCAATAATTTAAATGTTCTTATTTAAAAAAAATGTCATGTTAATTAGCACGATTTATCTGTAGGCTTTCATTAAAAAAAAAATAGTTTGGGTGTCCAATTTGGCAGGAACCCAATTCGGAGTTTTAACCTGATTTAGTTCACGAATTTTCTTGTCTTTAATTTGGTTTATAACATAAGAGTTGGTCGGGCGAGGCGGAGTTGTTTGAACAGGCGGATGTAAATTGACAGGGAATTGAAAACACATCGTCGTGGAAAATGGAGGTTGTGTGACAATAAGAAAAGCCAAGTTTGGGAGATCCTAAAATAACAAATTCCCGCCGTGTTATGCTGAGATCCTATGCTATAATTGCAGTGTTATAGGATGACAACTGCAAGCATGCGAGCGACCATTGTCGAAGCTGATTCCGGCACGCACCTGCAAAGCCGCAGGAGATTAATAAATTCCAGACGATCCCTTATTTCCTAATCCTAACCGCTC